AACTAATATAATTTTTTCTTTATTAAAAATAAAAATTAGTGTATAATTACACTATTATAATTTATTTATTTATTATTATTATTTTTATAAAATCAACAATGTTAATAATAAAAAATATAAAAAGAAAAAAATATATTTAATTGTTTTTAAATATATTCCTATCAAACATTGAATTTTAAATAACAATCGTTAATTATTATAAAACTAAATAATTATATTAATTGAATTCGCTATCTGTTCTCTATTATCTACTACTCACTTTTCGTTATCTATCATTCACTTTTCATTAATCGGTTATCTACTACCCATGACTATTGTCTATTATTTGTTATTTGCTACTCGTTATTTGTTAAATTTTAACTGTTATACCAAATAGAACCAAATACTAATTAAAAACCATGAAAAACAATTTAAAAATAATAAATTAGTCAATAAAATTAAAAAATTCTAATCCACTAGTAGTTTTATATAAAAGGTTACTTTAAATAGTTTTTTCAATTTACTAGCGACTTGGACCACAATCGCTATCCACTAATTCCAAATTGTTAAATAAAAAGTTTTACCAAATGTTTAGTTTATAACGGTTTCAAAATAAATAAATAATCAAACACTTATTTTGAATAACTTGGATAAAAATACTAATCGTTATCTCCAAATTATTATATTAAATGAGCCCTAAAGTAGTTTTTGTATCAAACTGCTAACGAATAGAAATTTTTTAATTTTATTGACAAATTTATCTTTTTTAATTTTTTAATTATTTATCACAATTTTTAATTAATATTTATCTAATTAATTTCAACTTTACTTTTCTTTGTCTTTAATAATATTTTTACATTAATTTATTATAAAAATATATTAGCTTAATAAACAAAATTTACTAATTAAAAAAAAGTATTAAATTTTTTTATATTTTATTTAAAACTAATATAATTTTTTTCTTTATTAAAAATAAAAATAAGTATATGATTACATTATTATAATTTATTTATTTATTTAATATAATTATTTTTATAAAATTAATAATTTTAATAATAAAAAATATAAAAATACACTTAATTATTTTTAAACATATCTTTTCAGTCATTCAATTTTAAACAATAACTGCTAACTATTGTATAACTAAACAATTATATTAATCAAATTTATTATTTACTATTTACAACCTGTTTTTTACTATCCACCACATGCTATCTGTTATTTATCACCAACTATATATCTACTAACCACCACTTGTTACCCACTACTGATATCTATTAAATTTTAATTATTATACCAACCAGTCCTTAGATTTCAAAATGTTTTCAAATACTTGATTGGAGATTAAATTTAATAAAAAAATTAATTATATCTAATTAGGCATAAAAATTAAGAATTAGTACTTATTTATTTTCCCTCTTAAAAATTATGAACAAAATTATTTTAAAATTATATTATTTTAATAAAAAATGATAAAAAAACAAAAAAAATAATTTATTTCATACTATTAAAATAAAGTATTTTAGTTTTATTTAATAAAAATTTATTTAAATAATATAATTTTAAAATAATTTTACTTTTAATAATAAATAATGCGAATGGATTTTGTTTCCTATAGATTATTACTAATTTAGTTTTTTTGGAAAGCTTGTGAGCTACTTGAGCTCCTAAGTACCTTTGAGCTTGAGATCAAGCTCGACACCTTCGGACTCGATACATAGCTTCAGTTCCATCAAACAAACTCAACTATTGTTACTTGGCTAAGGTTGGCTGGTTTAGAGCTGTGTGTATTGTGTGATGCAATTAGCTAGAACAAGACTGTTTACATGAAATAGATCCATTTTACTTTTTACGACTTAAATTTGCGAATTTTTTTTCTCAAGATTCTAAGCTTTAAACCGAAATGAAAGAATTAAAAAACAAAAAAAAAAAAACTTCTAGAATTTGTTGCATTGGGAAATAGGGCAAGCTTGGGATTTACCAAAGAGTGAGCTTCAAGAAACCGAGCCGCTATAGCAGCATAAAACCCCTTTTGGGAGAATATTTCAAACGGGCAGCAAGGAATAACTGTTGAGCAAAGTAATGAATCCCACCTCCAGATTCTTCATCTTCACCAACTTTACATACTTTTTAACTTTCAGTTCTTGATAGGTACAATACAGAAATATTGAAGATTATTGAAGGGAATGAGGCCTCCCAACAAGTACCATGAATCCCTTTTGGTTCTATACATCACAGTCCCTCTAGGTATAATTTTTGTTCTTGTTTCTGCATTCAGTCCTGAAGCACTTTCTTTGTCCCAATTACCTTCTCCATGGAGATTGAGATTTGGTTTCTTCCCCTCTCCTTCTTCAGCAATTCTTGAAACCCATAGCAATATTTCCATCGCCATCAATAGACCTTCCTTCGATTCTTCTTCATTGGCAGAAACTGAGAGTTCTTCTTCTGCCTCAAATGGGTCCTCTTCAAACGCTTTGGAAATCAATGGAACAGTTCAATTGGTAAGAATTTCATTTCCTCATCCCCCTTTTCCTTCTTCTTTTTCATCATTCTTTTTAATAACATGAGCATCTGGTTCCTTGACCCAACAAATCCTATGGGTATTATTAACCACTCTGTTGTCCATAAGTACCGAGCAAAACTTTAATTTTTTTTTTTTTAATTTTGTTTTTGTTTTTTAGTTCACTTTTACTTTGAGACTATCTTTATTTCGGTATTTTTTGGAAACATGTGGGACAGAAACAGGACATATCAAAGAATAATGAATCTGATGGGAAAATTGAAGTGTTATCAAGAGTTGTTAAGAGATATAGCAAGCTGCAAAAGGTTGAAGCAAGGTTGGCAAAAGCCAGGTCTTCCATAAGAGAAGCTGCCCTTGTAAGGAATTTGACTTCAACTCATCAAGATCCAGATTATGTGCTTCAAGGCCCAATGTACAGAAACCCAATTGCCTTCCACAGGTTCTAATCCTATTCGTTGAACCTGTTTTATCAATTTTCTGAACAACTTACTAACTAAAAACTTTTGATATGGGATTAAGATCATGAATTTAGATTTTTGTAATGGTAAGTAACTACCCTCTGATATATAACAACTATCATTTTTTTAACAGCAAAACTATATAAAGTATATCCACACTAATAATTCAATTGGTAAGGCCGCACGCTTGGTTGGTTTGATTTGATCCCTTCACCCATACACGAACAACTCTTTATCACTATGTTTTTCAACCCAACCAAACCCTTTTTCTGCAGAGGTAGAAATTGGGTTGGTTCAATGAGAATCCACCCAAGTGCAAGCTCTTCGATTCCAACATAGATATCAAAAAAAGCCTTATTTCCGACTACTAAACAAAATAATAATAATAATAATAATAATGATTTTGGTCACGAATTGGACCAAATCCACAAATTATATTCATAATCTACATTGGATGAATGGGTGGGAAATAATATTCATAACCCACATTGATATTAATGTTTTTAAGTTTGGGTTGTAAAAATTTTTTATTTGGGTTATATAAAGACAAAAAGTATTATTAATAAATGTTCATACATCAGTGATAATTTTTTCTACGGTGCAAACCATACAAGATTTTTTCTGATCTAAGTACATTTTATATGGAATTACCTATGGATATTATTTCTGTTTTTCCTTTTTTTTTTTTTAAATGGGATTATTTAGGAGTTACTTAGAGATGGAGAAGCTTTTCAAGGTTTATGTATACGAGGAAGGGGAGCCACCAATTTTCCACCAGGGTCCATGCAGGAGCATATATTCGACCGAAGGAAGGTTCATTCATGAATTGGAGAAAGGCACATCCTGCAGGACTAAAGACCCTGATCAGGCACTTGTTTATTTCCTCCCATTTAGTGTTGTCATGATGGTTCAGTACCTCTATGAGCC